CTCCGTTCTCGCTGATCGATCAAAATTTCGCCGCTTTCCAGAAATCCCTACTTAAAAGATTCATGTAGAACTTCCCACACTCTAATGCTCGTTACTGCAACCTACGCTCGTCATGGATCTCTCAAAGAACTAACAAACAAGTGTGATGGCTGGACACGTAGAACACCTCTTGGGACAAAATGAAGCTTGAGGGTCATGTCTTGCCATCGGTCATGGAGCGTCGCGCTCCAGTGTGCACTTATCATGCATGCGTACAAAAGGGATAGGCAAAGGGTGAGATTCATTTTTCTTTTCCTTCAGAGGGTAAAAAGCAGAAATTGAGGCGAATTATCCGAATGAAACAATTTGGATTGTCCTCTTGACACTTGCGCAAAATTGCACTTTTGTCCAGATGCAGCTCTACCGGATGCCACAGACTGGCCACAATTTTGGAACACTTTCTTTGTGCAAACTCCAGGCTGTTGTTGCCAATTCACCGAATGAAGCAGACCCTTTTGTAATTTTACAACGTTTGTAATTTCTTACGGAAAAAAGTTTACTGAATATTCCACCCTGTACTGAACCAAAATCGAACTGGTCGACTAAAAAAGGTTGTATGTACTTGCTGAATTTTCCACGCTGTTGGCGAATATCAGGTCGTGATGGAACTTCTTGCAGTTTCTGGCATCCCAAACTTCTGGGGAATGGCTCGTGATCCCAATTAAGGATTTGGCCTACAACGACGGATGAATCTTCTGCGCAGTGATGTTTGAAACAAGCCGCTCATCTGGGAGGTGGATTCATGGTCTGTGCCAGGCGATTGGGCCAGCAGCTGCAAAAGTAAGCACTATCGTCGCTCAAACATGCGCGAAAATGACGCAGCGCAGGAAAGGTGGATTTCGCTTGGGTCCCACTCCAGCATCCGAAACCTGCTGCTTGCTCGTAATTGCCGAGCGACCGCAGCCAACGACGAACGAAAAACTTTCTATCGCGGCAAGTATGGAGTACAGCAGCACGCAAACCAAACGAGAGACGCAAATGACTTAGCCAGGCAGAGACGGCATCGGCAAAGTGGCATCCATCTATCCTTACCCCACAGCTTCATTTCTAAAAGTTTTCGCGAAAGAGGCACTTTCCTAAAACTGGGACCAAATTACCTCGTCCATGACGAGGAGCAGATCTTCATGGGTGAAGATTTGGCGTATCTTCAAGAAATTCCGATCCGGCAATAAAAGTCTCGAAGATAAGGAGCGTCGTGTGCGGCCCTCGGTTGACAACGATCAGTTCGGACCATCAGCCTAGAACGATTCTAATGTCACAGAAAGGTGTCTTCAACTAGGGGATCCTAATGACGAATACCATGGAACGCAGTCGATGATTTGCGGAAATCAAATTTAAAAAATTTCCAAAAAATGACAAAAGAAATATCAAACTCCGAAAGGGCCTTCTCGCAAGAGGACCTGGTAATGTGCCAGGAAAAATACATTTTATTCCCATCACCTACAGACCTATAGGGGGAGGGGGCAAAAAGGCACTTTGGCCGAGTCACATATCAGTAAAGTTTACGCAGCCCAGACAGAAGACGTGGATACGAGTACCAGGGCGGAAGATACCCAAGGCGCTGTTTATCGACGGGGGGGGGCATTTTTATTATAATTGCTTCCCTGGTTCCGGTTTACAAATCTCACTCTGGTAAAACTT